CAGTTCCTTAGCTACAGACTCTTTAGCTAAGTCTATGATCAATGTACAAGACTGGCTGAGCACAGTCAAGTGTCTGCAATCTGGTTTTTATTTATTTATTTTTAACTGAAGGATAATTGCTTTACAGAATTTTGTTGGTTTCTGTCAAACATCAACATGAATCAGCCATAGGTATACACATGTCCCCTCCTCTTGAACTTCCCTTCCATCTCCCTTCCCATCCCACCCCTCTAGGTTGTTACAGAGCCCCTGTTTGAGTTCCCATTGCTTATCTATGCAATCTTGTTTTCAAGGGAAGTTCAAAGAGTAAGTATCTAGAATCTATTAGGTAGGGAAGTCCCCTAACTTAGAAAGTGGTTTCAGAAGCTGGATATGGGGGAGAAAAGGCCAACTCTTTCCTACTGTCAGGACAGGGTGCCTAGAAGAACTGGGAGAATCATACTTCTCTAATTCCTCTGTGTGCTTTCACTTCAGTTGTGTTCAACTCTGCAACCCCATGAGCTGTAGCCCACCAGGCTCCTCTGTCCATGGGATTCTCCAGGCAAGAATACTGGAGTGGGTTGCCATGTCCTTCTCCAGAGGATATTCCTGATCCAGAGATCGAACCCGCATCTCTTATGTCTCCTGCACTGGCAAGTGGGTTCTTTACCACTAACCTCACCTAGGGAGCCCAATTCCTCTAGATCTTCCCAAATATTACCATTTCACCTGTTAGTCACTGTTTCCTAATCAAATGCATTCACTCTAGAGTGTGGCAGAAAACTTGAGTATGGCCAATCTGCAGGTCACGTGATTATCCTGCCGTGGCAGCCTCAGACTGCTGGCCACAGCAGAGGCTTCCTTATGAATTAGAATCATCCTGCTGTTCTTCATCTGTTCGTCTTCTCTCTCTCTCTCTCTTTTTTTAAATAATTTCATTTATTTATTTTTGGCTCTGCTGGGTCTTTGTTGCTGCTCGGGCTCTCTCTAGTTGCAGTGAGTGAGGGCTAATCTTCATTGCAGCGCACAGGTTTCTCATTGCAATGGCTTCTCTTGTTGTGGAGCATGGGCTCCAGAGCACAGGCTCAATAATTGTGCCTCACAGGCTTACTTTCTCTGAGGCAGGTGGAATCTTCCCAGATCAAAGACCGAACTCTTGTCAACCAAACCCATGTCTCCCGAACTGGCAGGTGGATTATGTACCACTGAGCCACTGGAGAAGACCCACTTGTCCTCTTAAAGCACCTTTTCAAGGTTGTCAAATACCTTTTTTTTAAAAATTTAATCCTCTGAAGTTGCAACCATAGGGCAATGGGGAAAGTTGAGGTTAAGTTCTAAGAGAAAACATGCAGTAGTTTTCCCAGTTACTTCATTAATACCTAAAAAGCACATCTCATTTCCAGGCTCAAAGTGGAGGGATTTCTCACTGCATCCTGCTCTGTATCAACAAGGCTAGTTCCCGTTTTTAGGGTCTGCCGTTGGCCTCACTGCATACCTTATATCAATTTTTTTATTTGAATCTCTTTGTTTGGAAATGACAGAAATCCAACTTGAAATAGATAAAACATAAAGAAGACTGTATTGGATAACAAAATTCAATAAAAGGCTGAACAACTAATTTGCAAAAAAAAGTTAGGATCTCTCCAGAATAACTGGAACTAGGCTCTTAAATTCTAACATGAGCCTCTATAGCTTTTGTCTCAACTTTTTATTTATTCTCTCTTCACTGCAACCACTTTCCTTCCCTTCATGGGTGAATATGGCTGGAAACATTCCCTGAGCTTTACATCTATAGCATTCACCATTCAAAAGAGAACGACTTAGGATTTCCTGGTGGCACAGTGAGTAGGAATCCCCCTGCCAGTGCAGGGGACATGGGTTCAATCCCTGGTCCGGAAAGATTACACATGCTGCGGAATAACTAAGCCCATGTGCCACAACTACGGAGCCCTCGCTCTAGAGCCTGCAAGCCACAATTACTGAGCCCACATGCTGCAGATACTGAAGCCTGAGTGCCAAGAACCTGTGCTCCACAAGAGAAGTCACTGCAATGAGAAGCCCGTACACCACAACTAGAGAGTAGACCCTGCTCACCACAACTAGAGAAAAACCTTTGTGCAGCAACAAAGACCCAGTGCAACCAAAAATAAATAAATAAGCAAAAAAAATTTTTTTAAAGAGAATGACTTGTTTCTCAATTCAAATAAGAAAAAATGATGAGAAAGGGTTTTATTGACCCATCTTCAAACAGGTAACCACACCTGGGATGTGGTTATGGCTGAGGGTTATGGCTGAAGGTAGGACGGTATGAGAACAACGGTCCCCTGGGTAGCCTTGTGGATAGAGGAGACAGGTCCCAAGAGAAGAGCCATGCTGGGCTGACCACACCACAGATGACCACTATGGCAGTCCTCAGGCAGGTCCCTTCCCACATGCAAAAGTTTGAATAAGTTTGGCAAGGTATGGCATGTTTGATAAGATCAAACCCTTTTCTTCCCCCTTCCCTTTTTTAAAAAAAGAACCAACTCAGCTCAGCCTCTATGTGTCATTTTCCTGCCTAGACAGCTAAGACATTTTAAGGAGAATCTCCCCATAAATAAGTGCCTTTGTGCCCACCAAATCAGAAGATCCCTAAACAAAGCATCTAAGGGGATTCCCCAATAGTTCAGTAGTTAAGACTTGCTTCCACTGCAGGGGGTGCAGGTTTGATCCCTGGTCACGGAACTAAGGTCCTGCATGCTGCATGGCACAACCAAATAAATTAAAAAAAATTTTTTTAAGTCTATCTGAAAAAAAACAAAGCATCCAGAATTAACTTATCCCCATGTGTCTCTCTAGTGCCCTCTGTTTCCATCATAGATCAGATACTCAAGAAATATTTGTAGAACCGAGTTAAGATCTTTTCTCATTCTTCAGAGATCTCTGAAGGCTAAACATTTTGAATGTTTAGGATCCCTGGAAAGGCCTAATGCTAGAAGTTACAAATAAAAATGGAAATTAATAAAAGACTGGGTAGCCCATGGTACTAGTGAGAAAAACAAAGTCAATAAGGGAAGGGTTGTCCCCATTACAGAGAGATGAACAAGAAACTACAGGTTTTCTTTTTGTTTGTTTGTTTTCTTTTTGGGGGGGTGGGGCAGGGGGGTGCATGTTGCTTGGCTTGTGGGATCATAGTTCCCCAACCAGGGGTGGAACCCAGGCCATTTCTGTTAAAGTGCCAAGTCCTAACCACTGAACTGCCAGGGAGTTCTCAAGACTATAGGTCAGATCCTGATAGACAGATTGGGAATATACAGTTAATATGTTTGCCTCCAACCTTCCCTGGACCAGAATTTATAGCAGGAGAGAATAGTGATTTGGAAGAAGGTTGCTGATGGAGTTGATATTGATAAATGCTAATGAAAGGAGTTCTAAGGTCCTCAAGCAGGACCAAAAATGTATTAACTTTTCACTAATAGATAAGCTCCATCCCTTACTAGAAGGTAGACATGGAGGTCTGATCAAGCTTGGCTTCCAGTCACAGTTGTTCAGCAATGACACTGAGGCATTGCTTCAGAGGGTGAGCAGATGCGTGTCTAAGGTAGGAGGAGCCAGCGCTCTGTGCTCTCCCCCTAGAGGAGAGAAGGACTGACAGGAGTGCACTGGATCAGGGAATTAGCCTGCTGCCCGCCCACACTCTGAGCCCCGCAGAGCCTTGCTCAGAGTTCTGACGGAAGGTCAAGATCTGTGTTCGCTTGTAGAAGTAGCCTGGGAGTTCTCCAAATGACCACAGGCAGCAAGAGTTCTCCAGGGCATGGGTCGTTTTTCCTCTGCTCTCAAGGTAATTCCACTGTCCAAGCTCACAGAGCTGGGATCAGAGCAGCAGAGAAGACAGTCCCCACTGTACCCTCTGATCAGGTTCCTGTTTGCATGCAGCTCTCTCTGTGGAGGGAATCCCCCATCACAACACACTCCCACTGTTTTCACTTTTCCTCCAGGACCCCTCACTAGGCATCAGTTTCCTCACCGGCAAAAAATTAAGGGATCTCGGCTAACTCTGCAGCACCCTGGTGTCTTCTGAAATCTCAAAGGTAGAGGTGATGCTGTGGTGCAAAGACACGGGTCCATGTCTGGATTACACGTCTAGGTATCAGGTGTAACAGATCAGAGATCAACCAGAGTGTGGTCTGGGTCTATCAGTCACGGGCTTCAGTCACTTGGTGAGAGAGAGAAGGGGTGGTGGTGGTGGTGGTGGTGGCTAACATTTAATGTTTACTGTGTGCCAGGCACTATTCAAACACTTCAGATATTTTAATTCACTTAATCATTAAAGTAAACCAGGTTATAGATGAGAAAGGTAAGGCACAGAGAGGCTAAGTAACTCACCCTGTCATCCAGCTGGGAAGTGGCAGCACCAGAGCTGGAACCCAGTGATCAGGCTTCAGAATCCATCATCAGTATGGACGTGAAGACATGCTCAGCAAGGAGGCTTTGCGGGGGGGGGGGGGGGGGGGGTTGCTGGGACAATATTTTCATGTCAGAGCATTTTTATTTCCCCAAGAGTGCACGCATTGGGGGGAGCGGAGTCTCAGTTAGGATGAGTGTCCACATCAGATCACAACCACTAGCCTCTCTGGTTTGAGGCCCTTGCAGAGCCCAGCCCATTCTACCTGTCTCCTTCTTTTATGCTGAGTTCTCAGGAAGCCCTCGTGGATGTCCCCATATCTCACACACACGCAGCCTGGCCTCCAAAGTCGCCCTGCCTACACCATCTGAAACACCTGAACCCAACAACAGGCAGGATTCAAACATTTTCTTGGACTTCACCTCAGGGTCAGTGCCACTCTCAGCACAAACGGCTCCTTGCAGAGAGAGGAGCCTCCAACTCCAGAGTCCTGAGTCTGGAGAAGGGCAGCTTCTGCCCAGTTAAGCCAGCAACAAGCACGTTACCACAAAACTTCCAATCACCACAGCCATTTCTTTGATTCCCTGTAAAGATGTCAAGCATTTGTGGATTATACTGGTCAGAGCTCTTGGCTGTGTCAGAAGCCCAACTTAAATCGGTTTAGAGGGGAAAAGGAACTTAATGGCTCCATGACCAAAGTGTAGCCATGACAGGGATGGATCATGGAAATGGAGACAGATGGAACCAGGGCCTCACGTCCCTGCTGGTCCCTGCACACAAGCCTCAGTTGCCCCTTTGCTTCCGCTTGTGAAAGGGATATGGCCCCTTGAAAATTCCTCAGATGAGGAATTCTCCCAGGCAGAAGGCTGGCCCAGAGGGAGGGAGTTTCCTGTCCTTGGGGAGTGAGGGGATGAAGAAGGGAGGGTGATCCCTGTTCAAAGAGTGGGGAGTGGGAGTCCAGGATGGGATTCCTTCCCTGGACACAAGGCAGGATTCCCCAACACAAAGAGTTCAGCCTCACCTTCATGAATCACTCAACGAACAGATATGAGAAGACCTCCAATAGTACCATGATGTGCTAGCCACTGTGGGAGGCAGGGCTCCAGAGACAGTGATCAACATGAAGACACAGTTCTGCCCTACACCTTGCACTGTACTGCAAATACTTCAACAAGGTGAGTAACCAAGAGAAGGAGGTACTACAGGACACCCATCCTCGTCTAGGGGTTTCAGGGAAGGCTTCCAGGAAGCAGTGACATCTAAGTTGAGACCTAATGACAAACAAGTGTCTCCCAGGTTTCAGCTTTTTTTTTTTTTTTTGGTGAGGTAAGGGAGGGGGAGGGGTATGTGGTAGAGAGGAGACTGGAATGAACATTCCAACCAGAGACAACAACTCTGAGCTGAAAGATCAGTGTGTGAGGTGTGAGGGCTGCAAAGAAAACCACGGTGAGGGGGAAGCAGGCTGGAGGACTGGCATGGAGGACCTTGTGGGCCAGAGTGAGAGCTTGGATTTGATTCTGAGGACAGTGGAGAGCCACGGGAGTTCTAAGGAAGAGAGCAGTGGCACTGTCTGATTTCTGATTCTGAGATCCTTTGGTTCCCTGGGTCAAGGTGCACCTCCCACACGGGTGGAGAGAACATTCTGAGTCAGTTTTAGTTTAGACCTCCTAAAAAGTAATTAGAAAAAACACCTCAAGCCCCCTACAAGCAGTAGTTACAGAAATGGGGGATAGGTGTTAAACGAAGAATGAGTGGGCCGGGGAAGTGGATGACCTGAGGGTGGGCATGCTCCCCACTGTGTAACTAAGCTAGGGGGGAGGGAACTAGGGAGCCCTTCTCTCATTCCCCTAGGACTCTGGCTGGTACCGAGGGGTTGCCACTTCCTTGCCTTCTTGCTGGGTCTCCACTTTTTCATTGGCAGGATCTGCCAACAATGGGTGCAGGAGGCTAGGGGCTGCGTGAGGAAGCTGCGAGATCCTCCTCAGGTGAGCTGCAGGGGTTGAAGAATTCTCTGTTCTGTTCTCCTGGGAAGAATTCTGTATCCTGTGGCCCCACAGTGTGGAGGCCAATGGCTAAGTCCGTGGAGCACACTGTGGCCAGGTCCAGACTGAATCTAGGTGGTTTTCCTGAAAAAGAAAAAGGCCTCTGGAGGAGGGGGTAGCAGCTGAGAATGAAGGGGTTGTTTGGTTACTGCCCGGTCTTGACCTTCAACACACACGCACACACACGTACCCACATACACACATACTCTGTGCCCAGGGTGCTGGGATCCAGAGGTTCACACCCACAGTAATAGGGGGAGGGACTGAGCTATGGGACCTGGGGGAGAGGAGAGGCAGGCTGGGCCTTGAAGTGCAGGGCAGGGCTTTGTGGCCTTCAGGACAAGTCAGGATAGAGGTAGCCCTCCCCCTCAGTAGCTTCAGGTGGCGCCTTCACAGCAATCCTTCTGCCCACCAGGCGCTCCAGTTGGTGGGTCTCATCTCTCCAAAGGCTCCTTCTCTCCGCCCCTTAGCTTCTGTTCCTCCGCTGTGTCTGTCCCTGGCCTTGTCTCACTAAGACTCACCCTCTGTGTGTCTGTCTCACTATCACGGCCCTGTTTTGTCTCATCTCTCTCTTGATCTCCATTGCAATCCTTGTTTCCGACCGTGTCTCGTCCATGTGGCTTCTGTCTCCACGCCTGCCTCACTCGCTTTCTCCATCCCCACTCTGTCAGTTATCTTTGTCTCCTCTGTCTCTCTGCCTTGTCCCCACCTCCATCCTCACCTTCCTGTTGTACATGTTTCACCCTGGTCGCCACCTCTGTTCCTGTCTCCCTTTTGCTTTCCCCGCCCCCCACCCCAATCTAGCTCTCTCCTCCATGTCTCATCCTTGTCTCTGTGAACCCTTATCTCTTATTCCTTTCTCCATCTTTCTCCATCACTGTTGCTGTCCCTTTATCTCCCTGTCTCCGACTCTGTCTCCTCTCTTCATCCACATCCTCTATCCCCATCGCAGGTCCCATCTCTTTCTCGTTCTTGTCGCCATTCGCCCTCCTGAGCCGCCTCCGTGGTCCCCTCCGGGATAGGACCTCGATGGGGGCGGGGCCGAGGGACTGAATCAGAATAACTCGGTTAACTGGACGAATTGAATTAACTTCTTCACACGAGCGCCGCCAGGCCTGTTTCCCCTCCCTTCTGCGGGGCCGCAGGTGGGGAGGCCAGGGAGAGGGGTCGGGACCCTACGGCCTGGCACGATGCGTAGACTGAAGGTCTGGTCCGGACTGGGGCGGGATGGGGACTCTAGGGATGGGGCCCCGGGCAGCCTGCCCTGAATCTCCCGAGCCCTAAGAAGGCGGCGGCGACCCTTTGGGTGGGTGGGGGGGAGTGGGTCGGGGAGACTGGGGCGGGGTCTTGGCCGTCCAGGCCCCGCCCCGACGAGCTCGCCCCGCCCCGCCCCCTCCGCGGGGTCCTGCGCGTTAAAAGGCGCGCGGGCCGGGCTGGGCTGCACTTGCGTTGCACCAAAGCGGAGCGCGGCCGCGACGGGGCGGGCGGTCTCGCGGGCGCTCAGAACTGGCCTTGGGTCCTCAGCGCCTGGCGCTCCAAACCCCATCTTGACCCCAACCCGGCCTGGGACCCAGACTCCGACCCGGCCAGGCCCGGCCCCCGCCCCCGCCCCCCGGGCCGATGGACTACTCCTACCTCAATTCGTACGACTCGTGCGTGGCGGCCATGGAGGCGTCCGCCTACGGCGACTTCGGCGCCTGCAGCCAGCCCGGCGGCTTCCAGTACAGTCCCCTGCGACCCGCCTTCCCCGCGGCCGGGCCTCCCTGCCCCGCGCTCGGCTCCTCCAACTGCGCGCTTGGCGCTCTACGGGACCATCAGCCTGCGCCCTACTCGGCAGGTGAGCCCAGCCCCGGTCCAACCCTCCCTGCAAATCCTACGCCTCCCCAGCCCCTGCCCACTCGGCAAGTGGTTGCGACGGTCCCCCACAGCCTCCACAATCTCTGCCCTAGCCAGATCCTCCAACTTCCCGCGGGACCTACAGCCTCCCGAGTAAGACGAGGTTCCCTAGGCAGAGTTGAGCCCCACCCTCTCATCCTTCCTGTTCCTCTTTCTCGCTGCTGTATTCCTATCCCGTGCTCTTCAGGTCAAGGAAATAAATAGATCCCCGGTCTAGCCCCAGACTCTTCATCAGGCCCTCCCCTGCCCACATGCAAGATTGACCACCAAATCTCTCCATACCCTGTATCCTTGGAAGATTTCTCCCGGCTCAGGCCAATCAGACCGCCCATCCTTATCATCACCACCCCACTTCATGCCCGGCCCCAGCCTGGGCCCCGGCGGCAGATGAGCTGCCCAGCTGGGAGCCTTCCTAGAGTTCCAGCACCATCAAGCCCCTACTGCCTGGTTTCGAACACATCCTACCTGTGCCCAAACCCTCTTGCACCACTGAAAGCCATTCTGTGGCCAGAAGAAAAGGATGCTCAGGTCATTAAGCCACTTTCATTTCCCCATTCCCCTGGAGATTTTCCCAGCTAGAGTCCTGCAGAACCCAGAAGCAGCCCCATGAGACGCCCAAGCCTCCTTCATCCAAGTCTCTAACTGAACCTTCAACCTCATGAAGGCTCTTAGCCACCCTCATCTCTCCAGTTAGAGTCTCCAGTTAGCTGCCCCACCCAATCTCCTTATTTCCTTCCTTCCTGGGACCACAGGACCCAAGTAGAAGATTGGAACCTGTGTGATGGGGAGGGATAGTGAGAGAGACCTGAGCTTGGAGAAATGAGAACCAGGAAGATGGAGTCAGAAACTGGAACGGGGACAGAGAGATTGGGTACTCGGGGTCATATGCACATGGGGACTGTGGAGGTAGAAACAGAAAACAGGGAGATGGGCCCCAGAAAGATGGAAGTCTGAGATGAGGAAGATGGGGACAGATCCACAAAGACTGAGCAGATGGAAAGATCGGGGTGCTTGGGAGAAATGGGGACCCAGGGCTGGGGAGATGAAATAAATACCAGATGATGTGGACAGGAATTACGGGAGATGGGGACTGAAAACAGAGATGAGGAAGATGGGGATAGGCATGAGGTGTTGGAGACAGGATTAGGGGAGACAGAGAACTAGGGAGATATGACAAAGATAAAGATAACAGAGATCTCTGGAGAATGGGGAGACCTAAACAGGGGCTGGAGACAAGAATGGGGAGGTGGTGTCAGAAATGCTGTCTGTCGAGCAATGGGAAGGGGAAGGGGTAGATGGGAGACTGGACAGAAAGTGAGGGGCAGGGTTGGGGCTGGTTTTTGGAGGAGTTGGTAGACAGAAAGAGGTTCCTGGGAGGAAGAAGAAGGGCGAAGAGAAGATGGAGGAAGCTGGGAAGGGAGAAATAACCCTTCACTATGGGCACAAAGAGAAGAATGGTCCAGAAGGGGAAAGTTGCAGATCGATGAGGATGGAGAGAGATGAGGAAGAGGAGAGGGGGACACTTGGAGGAGAATGGGATGTGAAATGGGGCTGAGGAAATGAGGCCTGGGGAAAAGAAGGATGCAGGGTGAAGATGGCCAAATTTTTAAATGTCAGAGAGTAGTGGCAGGACTGAAGGTAGACCTAGGCAGGTGAGTGTCAGTCACCCAGCTGCAGTCCATGACTGGTTATTGGAGAGACAGGATGTTGATGAGACCTCACAGAAAGCCCAGGCTAGGAAGGATAGAACAGGATCAGAAGTCAGGTCGACAGGGAGAGACACGCTGAGGGTCGCAGGGGTGGGTAGACTGATGGGAGGTGGAAGGAACACTGCGGAGAGCAACGACAGGTCAAGAATCTTGACCAGAGGATCAGATTTTGGTTCCCTCGCTGCAGCTTTTGGGTCCCAGGTCTCCCCGCGCCTTGTCCGCCTTCATCCCTGCCGGCTCCATCCAGCGGTAGGGAAGCGATCTGAGATTGAGAGGGCCAAGCCCAGGGGCCAGGTCAGGGGCAGGGGACCGTAAGCGATCCCCCAGGGGCAGAACACAGCGGCCGGGCTCGGCTCCTCACGTCCCCACCCTCGTTGATTCCCCCCTCCCGCACACATCTGTAGTGCCCTACAAGTTCTTCCCGGAGCCGTCGGGCCTGCACGAGAAGCGCAAGCAGCGGCGCATCCGCACCACGTTCACCAGCGCGCAGCTGAAGGAGCTGGAACGCGTCTTCGCCGAGACTCACTACCCCGACATTTACACGCGCGAGGAGCTGGCCCTCAAGATCGACCTCACGGAGGCTCGGGTGCAGGTGTGTTTTCGCTGATGTGTGCGGGGAGCGTGCGCGCGCGGAGCGGGGCGGGAAGTTAGTGTCTGACACCTGGGGGTCCGCGGGACAGAGGGGCCACACTCGGGCAGCCGGGGGCTGCAGCCTGCTGGCAGAGAGCTAGAGACAGGGGCCAGGGCGCAGGCTGGCGGTGACGGCAGGAGAGGACCGGCAGCCCCGGGAGGCAGGAGGCGGGCAGACGGGGCCTGAGGCCTTCGGAAGAACTGAGCTATTCAGCGTCACTGTTTCCCCTCAGTCTCCCGGGTAGGGCTGAGCACGGCAGAGTGATGCTTGGGAAGCCAGGATGGAGGACGAGTGGGTAAACGGTCAACTCCAGGTGGCTTCGGGGCCAAACGAGGCCGAACAGGGGGAAAGCCTGTCAGCGCCTCCTGGCCCCCTCTTCAGCTCTGCAGCTGTGAAACCTCTGAGCCTGGAACGCCCGGGGTTCAGGGTAGGCGCAGGAGCTGGGTCGGAGCAGACTTTTGTCGATCTTATAAATCTGAGTACAGATGTTCAGCTGGAGAGCATTTACTGAAGACCCTGAACAAAAGGTTTCCCAAGTGCCCTAACCCGCTCTCGACAGCCCCGGGCTTCTGGTAGGGAGGAATTGGGGCAAGGGCTTTGGGAGACGAGGAGAGCGAAGACCGAGTCCGTCCAAGAGACAGAACACCTGGAGGCGGTGGGGTCCGCGGGTGGGCAGATCCCAAAGGGAAGACGCTGCGGACCTGGGGGAAGGAACCAGTGGAGCAGGGGAGAGGCGAGCGATGAGGAGGATAACGGGCAGTGGTGGAGGGCCGAGGGGCCAAGACTCGGAAGGCTGGTCGGTAGTAATCGTGACCCGGTCCCTTCCGGCCGGAGGTCTCACTCGCGCCTGGCGGCCCCGGGCTGACCAGTCCCTGTGCCCGCAGGTCTGGTTCCAGAACCGCCGGGCCAAGTTCCGCAAACAGGAGCGTGCGGCCAGCGCCAAGGGTGCGGCGGGCGCGGCGGGAGCCAAAAAGGGTGAGGCGCGCTGCTCGTCCGAGGACGACGACTCCAAGGAGTCCACGTGCAGCCCCACGCCCGACAGCACCGCGTCGCTGCCGCCGCCGCCCGCCCCCGGCCTGGCCAGCCCGCGCCTGAGCCCCAGCCCGCTGCCCGCCGCCCTGGGCTCCGGGCCCGGACCTGGGCCGGGGCCACAGCAGCTCAAGGGCCCGTTGTGGGCCGGTGTGGCGGGCGGTGGGGGCGGCGGGCCAGGCGCGGGCGCGGCGGAGCTGCTTAAGGCCTGGCAGCCGGCGGAACCCGGGCCCGGGCCCTTCTCGGGGGTTCTGTCCTCCTTCCACCGGAAGCCCGGCCCCGCCCTGAAGACCAATCTCTTCTAGCCGCCGGCCTCCAGAGGCTCCGGGCCTGCCTACCCCTGCCCCTCCAGGGCCTGACAGCCCCTCCCCATCCCAGGTCTGCCTGATGGCCCCACTCCCACTGTGTCTGACCCCTCCGTGTGCCCTCCCCAGCTTCGGAGACCAAGCCAGGGCTACTCGTCTCACCCACCCCCATTCCGCACCGTGGGGGTTGGGTGGGGGCGGATACTTTTCACTGGGATGCCCTCCAGGAGAGCTCAGAGCCACCCCCTTCTAGCCTGGCTCTCTTTGAAAAAGGGATCAAACAATGCCTGCCCCAACAGTGCTCAAAGGTGAATCCTTAAATGGGAACAGCCCGGCTTCCTCCCCTGCCTCTGCAGCTGGTTGGGTCTCCCCTCGGCTTGGTGACCAGCCTGCTGCCCAGCCCTCGGGCCCACCCACCCCGACCCAACCCGTGCAAAGGCTGGTCATCATTGGGATAATTAGCGGCCCTAAGGGTCCCACCTCCGTTTTGTCCCTCACTCCTCCCTGCCCAACCTCAGCCGGTCTGGCACAGAGGGGAGGCCCTGAGATGAGTAGAGCTGCCAGGGCATCGGGACAGAGGGGCTTCCTCTTTTCTGTCTTTTTTGTTGTTGTTGCTGTTCTTTTCTTTGAAAAACTTGTAATTTATTGAGGTGAGTTTTGCTCAATCCAAATAAAACTTAATTTATTGACATCACACTGGAACCCTTCGGTACCCATGAAGGGGATAGGCTGCCTGCAAGAGCCCAGTTCCCCTTATGACCAGCGAGGAACCCCCAGCTGCCACACAGCTACAGCGCAGGTGGTACAGACCAGGAGACAAAACTAAGCAAACTGGCGCTTTGTGGCCAAGATTCTTTGCCCCCACCCAAACCAGCCCCAATAACATTAAAGTGCCCGCCCTCCCTAAACCCACACAGAAAGCTTAAATAAACCCCAGCCCAGTTCTTGGGCTATTCCTTCATTTCCGGACGGACACCCCTGACCAGGGGTTGGGAGAGGTCCCAGCTGAGCCCCTCCACCAGTGGTTCAGGCTGGGTGGAAGGCAGCAGGAACAACGGTGAAAATGGGGACCCAAGACGTACCCATGTGGACCCCGTGGCCCCCCTGGGGCTGGAGGACTGGCCCAGAAAGGGAGGACAGCACCAGAATAACCGAGGTCTTCGGTAACCATGGTAACTGACCTCCGCAGCCCTGGCTCTAAAAGGTGAGGGGTAGGATGTCCTAATTAGGACACTGATTGGGCAAAGGATTGGGCAGTAGGGAACACAGATCCCCAATAAATAGGCAGAGAAGTACTGCCCCGACCCCTTATAACTCTTCAACTCCAGGGCTCTGGCTGGGCCTTCAAGGGTTTGGCGCTCAGTTCGCAGCTTCAAAATGCCACCGCGGTCACTTGCTGAGCTGCAGGGTATCCAGAAGGAGGCGCTTGTGAGCTGGGTCTTGCACCCCAGCTTCCTCCAGGTCTTCTTCAGTGATGTCGCTGTAAGGGTAAGAGACGCTTGGAGAAGGGTCCAGGTGGTCCAGAGAGCCCCTAGCTCCGCCCCCAAGGCCAGCCCCACCCCACCCACCTCCAGCCCCGCCCCCACCTGAGAAACTCCAGGTCGTCCCAGCCATTGTGCACCAGTCCCTCCTCATAGCGTTCCAAGCCGATGGCCCTCAGCCAGGCTCCCATGCCTGCCTCACCCAGCCCACCAGCCCGCCCGACCTGCGGGCACGGAGCCTGAGGGAATAGAGCAGGTTAGAGGGAGCACTAAGGGGGGCCTGCACACACAGGAGGACCTGCAGACAGCCATATTCTGCCACGTGCTCTGGGGTGGGGAGAGAGGCAGAGCAGGGGGCTGATTCCTGCGACCTTCACCTCCCCAGTGCCCAGCTCAGGGCAGAGGGGACACCTCTGAGTGCTGAATGGTGAAGTAAAAGTATACCCCCATTCGTGGGCATGCACACACTGCAGACAAACAGCCAGCCACCCCTGGCCCACCCACCTCCTCTGCCAGGTCCTCCTGGATGCTCTCTCGGATGCGAGGTGGAGGGAAGCTGAGAGGCCGGCCATAGTCCGAGGGCAGCCCCCGGGGTGGCTGTAGCTCCAGGGGGCCTGGAAGGAGCATGGAGCGGCCAGGCCCAGCAGGAGCATAGTCCACCTCACTCAGCGTCTTGGCCATCTGTAGCACTGAGCAGGAGCGATCATCCCCACTGGCTACCTCCCCCAGGAAAGCGCTGGTGGGCGAAGGGCCTGGCGGGAGTGGGGGTCTTGGATGGGCCTTGGGAGGTGGTGGGCCACGGGCCTCAGCCCCACTGCGGCCCCGGGTCACTGGCCCTGGCAGAGGATCCAGACTAGGGGGCAGGAAGATGGCTGAATCCGGCAGTGGTGGTGGTGGAAAGTCTGGAGGGGGTAGTGTGCCCCCAGAGTCCTCATCTGATGAGCTCCCCTCCCCAGCACGAGGAGGCCGGTGGCGCCCAAGCTGTGGGGCAGGCACTGTGATGGCCACTTTGTTCTTGGTGGCAGGTGGGATGGGAGCCCTGGCAGGTGAGGGTGGCTCCGGGGGCAGCAGCTGGTGTGGTACCCCTTCAAGGACGTAGTAGGCAGGGTTATTGAAGCTGTTCTTGGGTGGGGGGGCCACCACCCCTTCCGGCTCTGGAGCCCCCTCTGGCTTCAACCTGGGTTTGGGAGCAGAATAAAATCAGGGCCCAGAATCAAGGGGAGAAGGGCAGTGGTGCAATGGAAGAAGCACTGGGCTAGCAGTCAGGAGTTGTAAGCCCCCACCCCTAGACTTGCATGTGACTGTGGGCACGTCACTTTCCCTCTCTGCCCCTCTGTGTCCTCATCTCTAAAACTGGGGAGACAACTGCATAACCCCCAATCTTCCTTGCCTCACTCACTAAGAGTCTCCAATCTTTTTTTGATTTTGTAACTGTAAAAGCTGAGTGTAAAATGGGTGAAAACAGAGGCCAGAAGGCAGGGCAATAAAAGCCTTCAATGAGAATGACCGACCAGATGTGGAAAGCCCTGGAGGCATCTGAAGCCAGTCTACTGAGGAATCTTACTCAAGGATTCAGGTTAGTTTTACTCAAGGCTGAAGATAAAACCAAGGTGACTGATAACAGCTGAAGATGACTGAAAATGCACCAGGAGTTTTTATTTATGTTCAAATGACAACTGGATATAATTAAAAAGCAAGTCTCACTTTCCGAAAGTATGATCCACAGAACACTATACTTGACCTTGACCCTTAAACAACATGGGCTTGAACTGCTCGGGTCCAACTCTATGCGGATTTTTTTTTTCACTACTACAGTACTGCACGATATACGAGCCACATTTGTTGAATCCATGTGGAACCTCAGATACACAGGAACTGGGGATCCAGAGGGATGACTATGAGTTATACACCCCTAACCCCTGCCATGTTCAAGGGTCAACTGTAGTTCCCCAGGATATTAATAGTTACTGCATGGAAAAGTTTCCTGGCCCATTAAGTTTGGGAAACTATATTCAACACAGCTGAAAAAGGATTTCCTTCCTGTCCACAAGCTCAGAGCTTTTGCTGATACTATTGTGCACTGGGAATATCTAAGAAAAGAATCTAGCAACAACCATTTCCCAAACTCATTTGACAGCAAACCGGTTTCCAGTGGGGCATCTTGTAGGACAGTATTCCATAGAATGCCCCAGGGAAATCTGTGCTGAGACACAGGCCTTCTCCAAACAGAAGGCTCAAGTTAAGTGTCTAAGGGAGCTGTTGCAGAAACCATTTCTAAGTCTATTTTTTAAGACAGAAGTGAGAGGAGAGGCTGACCATGCTCCCTTTGACTCAGAGCCACACCTTCAGGAGGCCTGGCTGGCCACTGGCCACAGGCTTAGGGCCCCACAGAGACCTAAGCAGTAGATGATCCCCAGGCCAACCCTGAGAGCCGTGCACAGTGATGGATCAAGATGGATAAAGGATGGGAATGACAGTTTCCTTCTCTCACCTGGGAGTCAAGGGCTCCTCCCGGGGAGCAGTTCGGGGTGGGGCTGGGGGCCTCCCAGTTGGTGGTGGCTTCTCTGGTTCTTCAAATAACTTGGACAGTGGGCAGGAGGCCTCTGTGGAGGCTGGCTTGCGGCTCCCTGACCTGTCAGGGTGCACAGGGGAGGGACATGAAGCAGGGGCTGGCCACGAGTCCCCAGGCACCCCTTCATGTGACTCCCCACAGAGCCCCAGCTCACCTGGGATCCTGGCTGCCTCGGGACACAGAGGGGGCTTTGCTCTTTGCTCCTGCCTCATCCTTATCAATGCTGATCCACTCTGGGAGAGGAAGGGAAAGGAGACTTAGAAGGGACCTGGGGTCCTGCACCTCACAGACACCCACAGGCTAGCTAGCCCCTTCCCAGCTACTCCCCAGGGCAGGCCCACCCCCCAGACCTGGCTGTACAACTGCCAAATGTTCCAGGGATTCCAACGCCCGCCCCACAGCCCTGGTCCTCCTCTCCTAGACGTGCCCGCACCACCCCACTGTATGCCCCACACCCCTCCTAATGGAGCCCCCACCATAGAGTCGCTCACGGGTGCCCAGGCGCTCTGTGGGCACCCGCACCTTCATGGAGCCACGGATGTTGCCTGTCTCCTCGCCGCGGTGGGACAGGAAGGTCAGGAACTGCTGGGCTGTGCTGCCAATCATTGACTTGAGCGCCACCACGCACTCCCCTGAAGGGCAGATGGAGGAGACCAGCAAATTGCCAAGCCTTCCTAGGGCCCTGCCCGGCTTCCTGTGCCCCGCAGAGCCCCTCCACCCTCACCATAGGATTCGTAGCCGTCCATGGACTTGACTGTGAGCAGGAGGTGCTGGTCTTGCAAGTACTCGATGTCAGCCAGAATGGGGTTGAGCTGGAGCAGAGAGGCCCAGTGAGGAATAAAGCACCCCCCACCCCACTTCCTGCTGTGACTGTGGCTCATCCCACCCTCAAGCTTGTCCGTGCTCACTGCCGTCCACCTGAAGGAAAGATTCCCATGGGCCTTTCAGAGCAGTCAAGAGCCCTGTAACTAATTAATTTCCTGCATCAACAACGGCCAACACAGCATCTGATGTTTAGTGAAGCCTTGAGAAGTATTTACGGAATGAATGAATGAACTGCAACCTGCCCACCTGCTTCCCCACCACATATGCCCTTGTGCTCACTCATGCCCACTCCACACACAAGCCCAGGCCAGGCCGTGGGCTCTTCCCACCCCCCCCAGGCAGGCTCCAGGTGGCGCTCGGCTGAACTTCTGTGCCCTCACCCCCAAGCCTCACCGTGGGCAGCTGGCGTGAGGACCACTGCACCTTGAGGAAGTTGATGTTGTCACTGCTCTGGGCATCATTTTCAAAGCTCTTCTTATACTCTGGTGGGGGTAGGGGACACCCAACTGAGTGCCACCTCTCAGCTTCCCTTCCCCCTAACTAGGGGGCTGACCACTCTGGGCACCTCAGGCCTCCCATCCCCCATGGCCCACACCCAGCCCTGGGCCCCGCCTCAGACCCTCCAGACAGGTGGAGTAGAACTCGATGAAGAACTTGGTGCGGCTGGCCGTCTTCACAATGGCCTCAATGCTCTCAAACTCAATGTAGGCCTGGTCTGAGGTCTTTGAGAGCCCTAAGGGGCAAAGGGAGGAATGCAGACAGGAGGGCTGAGAGGGTGGCAGGAGGAACAGGACACAGAGACAGCACTGCGGCAGGGAATCTGGAGCCGCGGCAGGGAATCTGGAGCCCTGGCAGAGCAGGAGGGAAGGCCAGGAGGGGCCTCCTCCATCCCCAGCAGCCCAGGGAGACCCCAAAGCCTGGACCTGGGACTGGGACAGACAGACAACCCAAGAATGAGAGACCTTCTGAGAAGCGGCTGGGAACCAGAGTGCCTGCAGGATATGCCCGCCAACAATCCACCATGCCACTAGGCACACAGGTACACGAGGAACCCCAGGCAGGCAGAAACATGTACATGATTACCTTCACACACACACCTGCTCATGGGCATATACCTCCCACGATGACTCAGGAACACAGACACCTTTACACATCACAGACACATTCCTGCACATGCATGCATGTACCTGCCCCTACACACCCACCCACACACACACACACACAGATATATTCAAAGCTATGCACACCCCCCAGGCCAGCACCTGCACCCACCCAGATGGATGCCACACCCACAGCACAGCCAGAATAGCTACCTTTCTTGGAGATGAACTGAGAGGTAACTCCAACCTCAAATGTCCCAAACACAGGGGAGTGGTCGCTGGTGACAATGTCATCCGTGCAACCTGGGGGAGGGGAGAAGGAATGGGGGCTCAGGGAAAAGCTCCTTACTCTCTGTTCCCCATTCCCAAAGCCAAGGAAGAGTCAGGTGAGGGACCACCCGGGATCGCCCATCACCCTGTCCGGGAGGCTCTGACCATAAGAGTTGCAGATGATGTGGGTCTCGGGATAGGATTTCCAAAGAATCCGGTCACACCATGAAGGCACATTGGTCCGGACCTAGGGCAGGGGATGGCAGCGTGGTCAGGGGTCAGCTGGGGGTTGCTCAGCTGAGGCCCATGCCCCTACCACACTGGGTCCAACATCCACCTCCAACACCCAGAATCACCCCCAATGCCTCAAGGGACCATAGAGGCTGGAAAGGTAAGTGCAGAGGCTTGACCCACACACACTCTTGATTCACCACAGTGCTGGGGGGGTCTCCCCTGGCCTAACCCATTCTCCTCACCCCAGTTGGCTTCTGCTTGTGCCAGGCATACGTGTCCCGGGAACCCCGCTCATAGCGGTAAGTGGGTGGGAAGGAGATCTCCTCCTCACCTAGGAGAGGCAGGGATGGAGGGGTCAGGGCCCTGAAGACCCGGGGATACCACAAGGACCCTGGCCCCTAGGGACTGCCGCTACCGCGCCCACACTCACTGAATCGAAGGAAGACCTTGTGCTTTTCCCGCTCCAAGTTGAGCTGGTCCACCCTGAGCAGGGGCTCAAACTCCTTCCTGCTGATGTAGTTCAGGATCTCCTGAGGGGAGAGGGGACATAAAAGCTGGGGCCTTGCCCTCTCAAGCCAGAGGTCAGAGCCCACCTGGGCCCCAGCCCAGCCTCCCTACCCGCCACCCACCGGGCCCTGCTCACACCTGTATATCCATGTCCAGGCGGTAGTTGAGGTCCCCGAACCAGAAGAGGTGAGTGAAACGCAGAGATATGTCAAAGGCACTGAGCTGCCGATCGCCCAGCGTGAGTAGCCGCAGGATGTCCAGGTAGTTCTGGTTCCGCCTATGGTGGGGGTAGAGGGAGCTCTAGGGTCAGATGTCAGGGACAGACATGGAGATAAGAAGTCTCTGGCTGGGGTTGGGGACAGGGCAGGGATTAGGGTCCCTGGGGACAGAGAAAGGAGCTGGGGACAAGGTCAAAATCAGGGACAAACATAGGGGTCCTGAGTTGAGGTAAGGAAGGAGGCCTTGGGAGACAGGGATGTAGGAAGGTCATGGACTAGAATACGGGAGAGGGAATAGGTCTCAGGGGAATAGAGGATAAGGCTAAAGAGATGACTGAGAAGGCACCCCCTCACCGGGCAGTCTTCTCATTTCCTGAGGTGAGGTGACAATTCACAAAGCCAAATGAGGTGCCATTGAACATGAAGGAGACACCCACAGCCCCCTTGTTTCCTGTCAGGGCAACAGAAGAATGCCTGGGTCACAGCAATGGAAAGATGCTTCCGACTCCCCCACATGCCATAAGGCAGGCAGGCAGTTCCCTGCATACATAACCACGCCTTCTCTGGGGTCCACACCAGGCACTTGCAGCCCCATCTGGACGGTCTGAGTCTGCACGTGAGAGCAGGGTCACTGGAGATCACAGAGACCCCGGTGGTGAAGGGGCAAGGCTTTGCAGTTTCTGAGCACAATCTATCCTGAGGTAGCTGGACTGCAAACAGGGAGACCTGGGCACTATGCTGGTGCCAGGCTCTATCACGTACTAGCCTGTGTGACTTTAGACAGGTCACTTGACCACCCTGGGCTCGAGTTTTATCATCTGTGAAATGGAGATAATTATCCTGGCCATGCCTCCTGGTGGGGCTGGAAGAGATTTAGAATATGAACATGCTTTGCAAAGTTCAAAGAGTTCTATAGATGGGAGGAAACCCTGGACCCTGGCTAGAAAGGAAGCAGGAGGAATGGACAAAGGGACTCCACCCTCTTTCCTCACCCAGGGTGTTGGCAATGCCGGTCTTCACACTGGACGTACTGACGTGGCTGATGCGGTTCTCATGCTCTGGCTTGACCAGCACAGCCACCTTGATGTTCCACAGTGACTGCATAGCAATCTGGGGAGAGGGTGCAGGGTCACCCCTGCCCCAGGCTGGGCCACTGTCCACGTCTCCCTCACCCTCACCCTGCCCAGCCCACACTATAGACGGTTCTGGAAATCACAAGGTAAGAAGGCCTGCCACACCTTTTCCTGTGGGACCAGAAAGAGTGGCCTTACCACAGCATAAAGGACTCAGGATAGACTTCCTAAAGGATATTTCCAGGGACGAGAGGGAGAGCCAGTCAAGCTGTGGGGAGCCAGCCAGTGTGTGGGGAGAGGGGCTGGACAAGATAACATCCCCTCACCGGGCGGTAATCCAGATCCGTGAGCTCCTTGAGGCCCCCGCGGAGCAGGTCCAGCCACTCACGGTCACCCACTGAGTTCTCCTGGGTCCCAAAAACATAGATGTCATGGGGTATGGTCACCGTGACCTCATCCAGGGTCTTCCCCAGACCCTTTGATGTGAACCAAGATGTCACATTTTTCGGAGGCGGCACACTTCCTGGAGGTAGAGGGGACAGGGCAGTCAGGCCCCTGCCTGGGGCCCCTCCTCTCTCCCACCCCGGTCCCTCCGCGGGCCTGACCCATGTTCCAGGTGCCTATGAAGATGGAGATCATGTCAGGCTCGTCCTGCTTGGAGTGCTTGTTCTTCATGAGCTGCAGGAGCTGGCAGAAAGCCTCACGCTTCTGCAGGGGACAGCAGTCAGTCAGGCACAGGTGGGCAGCCAGGAAACCCCCTTCCACAGGCCTACCCTGCTAGGCTCACCACCACACACCCACTTCTCAAGCATACAGCAAGTGTTCAGTAAATGTTCACTAAATGATTATCAGCCCACCCTCGGGCTGCCCACTCTCAGCACACATGCCATTTACCCCATCATAACCACCTGCCCCATGAGGGATGACATCTCTTTCCTCCCATCTGGCAGGGACCCCTGCAGCCCCCCGCGGTCAGGCCCATGCGCTGCTCACCCGGGCGCTGACGAAGATGAAGTCCTTGCGCTGCGTCCGGTCCTTCTCCTTCTCAAACACGACACCCAGCTTGTTCTGGACCCGCTGGGACTTAATGAGCTGACGGACTAGGGGATGGAGAATGGGTCATACCAGCCTGTGCCCACAGACCCAGGGGGCCCACCCTGCTGCCCATCCTGTGTTGGGCCCTGGCTCACTGCGGTCATGCGTGAAGGTTGTCCAGTCCTCCTGCGAGTCCCGCTGTCTTCGCAGCAGCACCAGCCGCCCACCCTCCACATCCACACTCAGCGTGAACTTCTGTGACTTCCCGATCTTGGTCAGGTCACCCAAGGTCACATCCAGCTTCACCTGCAAGCCAGGAAGTGGGGGTGCTACTGAAAAGACCTGGGGAGCAGGTAACACCCTCTTCACCTCCACCCACTCTCTGCCCTGGAAGGTCCCCCCACCCCCCGCTATGTACCTCAAAGGCCTGCACGGGGATGGTCTTGGCCTTACGTGTGGATGGCTGTAGTGGGGCCGGAGGGGATGTGGAACTCATGTCCTGTAGGGCCTTCAGGGCCTGGAAGGGGCAAGGGCAGGGCCAGGTCAAGAGCCTTGCTGAGGGCAGGGGCAGGGAGGGACACCGCTCATGTTGGTGTCAGTGCTGAACTATAGATTCAGGGTTCAGACCAGGGCAAGGCAAGTGGCCAGGTGAAGGGGTCAGAGGTCAGGAGTCAGGGCACCTTCTTCTGGATGCCTGACAGGAAGTCCTTTAGCACTGACAGCTTCAGCACCAGGCTCTCTAATTCCTGCTCCCCGGTCTGTGGTGGGTTCTGCAGGGAGAACGAATGAGCTTTGTCCATGAGACCACCTAGCAGGAGGCCCCCCGCCCAGTCCCAGAACACAAACCCACTCCCCAGAGGTCTCTCCACAGTCCCACCTGCTGCTGCAAAAGGCGGGTCACCATGGGTGAGCTCTGCTGGTCAAACACCTTGGACAGGATCTCCAGACCTGACAGGACCTTGTCCACCTCACTATGGAGACACTAGGTCAGAACTCCCCACTCTGACCCAGGTACAAGGAAAAGGGGCTGAGTGTGTAGGAGTTTCAGCTGCCACCATGAGGATACAAGGGTTCAGGTGAGGAAGAGTCAGGTGGCAACAGCAGGCTCTCTGTACTGAGCCAGAGGTCAAATGTCAGGGCATCTGTGTAACAAGGGAGCGGGAGCAGACAGGTATGACGTAAGGGTGTGGTGCGTGGCGCTGGGTGCCCCAGGTACCTGTGCAGCCTCCGGCATGAGGTGGCGAGGGTGCGGGTGAGGTGTGGCAGGTTGCTGGCTCCGCCCCGCACGGCCTCCAGGTCCAGCCCGTAGCTACCTTTCAGGTACTCGTGGGAGACAGTGCTCAGCCCATTGGGAGCACTTGGGGGAGGGGTTAAGAGGTCAGTGGGGGCCCCGCTGATACTGTCCTAGCACCCCACCCCATCCCTAGAGGAGATGGTACAAGTGGCAATCCGAGTGCAACAGACCAGAGTGTCTGCCTCTTAGGGGTCAGGAAGGGGGTGTCTTAAAGGTCTTCCCACCTTTGTTGAGGACATGGTTCTCAGAAAAGACAAGGATTGCCTGCTCAGGAGGGGTTGGGGGATCTCACCTCTCAGCAGCTGGAGTTGTGGGGGTCTCAGGGGCTGGTGGGGGGCTGCTGGGCCCCAGGGGGGCAGAAATGCTGGTAGAGCCAGAGCGCGGGGGCAGTGGGGGCTTCTCGTCCTCCCCATCTGTGGACAGGGGCCAGGAGGCAGTGGTGTGAGCCTCCTGCTCTCCGTGAAGTGGGGGGTGGGGGTGGGTACCATGGCTGTCAGGGATTTCCATGGAAGGGAATAAATGGCCCAGGCACCAGGAAGAGTGGCAGGGGGCTTCAGAGGAGGCAGGTTGAGAAGATGGGGTGGGAAATCACGGGGAGTGTCCGGTGAGGGGCAGGGAAGGTACATGGCACCCAGGCAGCACCTGAGGCGTCACGGTCGTCCGGTGGGTCTGGCTCTCGCTCCCGCTCCACAGGCAGCAGCAGGGCACATACCAGGCCCTGGTTGGGCTGGGCATACAGGCTGATGAGCTCCCCCAGGGTCTGAAAGCGCCTCACCGGCACACCCTGCGAGGTCTGCAGGCCGGCGAGAGTGGGGGAAGGGTCAGTCACCTGGTCCCCAACCTCAGGCTAGAATCCAGGCCGGGGTCAGGGTCCAAGCTCCCACCTGCACAGCCAGGAAATCTTCTCCGTCAGGTAGAATCCGGTACGTATGCACATGCTTCTGATACCTGACGGCAAAGCAGGGGGTCCAAATCTATCTCCCCAGGGATGGCATCTAAGCCCCAAGGCATCCCTTCCTCCAGCCAACCAGCGGGCCCAGCCCCTGGGGCCCCTTGGCTAGGTTTCCCTAAAACTGTTTACCCAGGCTGCACAGGGTTAATGATGGGGCCTGTCCACTCTATCCTGCTGGTGCTAAGCAGAGCAGGAATGACCAGACCCCACCCCAGACCTACATATGCTCCACACCCACTGCAAGGCTGGGGAAGCAACAGGCAGCTCTTTTGTGGCTTCTGCAGCTGTCTAAACAGACCCTCTGGGCTGTGGTACCAGTCTGGGCCCCCCGCCAGAGTAAAAGTCCTCAGAAGCCTGGGTAACTCGTCTGCATGCATGGGTAATGTACTACCGCACGTGTGTCTGCTGTCTGTATTTACGCTGGTTGTCTAGCCCTGCTGGAGTCAGGTATGTCTGGAGCAGTCTTGCTGAGGGGATATGGGGATACCTCCCTAGGGCTTTCCTTCCCCTTCCTCAGACACCAGGAAATTGGGAGGACACATGGGGGCCCCCTGTGGGGGACCTGGGCCTCTAGGAGCCCCAAGCTGAGGAGGGGCACGAGGGTTGCTGACAGATGGCAGCCAACAGCTGAGCAGGTGACAGCTGAGCCTGGCCTGAATGGTACAGCCCGCACTCGGTGCGGGCGGAGGATCTCTCTACAGCCGTGCCTCCAGGCAGGCTTGCCCAAGGGAGTCACCTGGGCCATGTGTCGGGCAGCAGGTGGGTACTGGCATGAGAGAGGATCAAACGCCTACTTGAGGAGACCTATACCCTGGGCACAGGGCCACTCTCTCCTCTCAGGTAAACTTTCTTTATGGGGACTCTCCTGACTACTGGGCACAAACTGTGTGGCTATCTGTGTGTGACTGGGTGTGTTGGTTTGTGGACTGTGGGTCTGTGTTTATAACAATAACAGCATCCCATTAACTGTGTCCTGTCTCTGTGACAAGCCAGGTACTCAATGTCCTACAGACAAGATCTCATTTAATCCTCACACTTTAAGGAAGTATTATTATTATCATCTCCATTCTCCAGAAAAGGAAACTGAGGCTCAAAGAAGAAAAGTGATTTGCCTAAGGCCACAAAGGAAGAGGCCAAGCTAGCATTTAGAGTCAGGACAGAGGCCAGGACCTGTATCCTGGCCTGCGTGTTGGTTGCCTGTGACTACAGGGGCAGGGGTATGTCTTTGTTTCCCCTGTACACATAGGTGTCATGTACAGGTAAGCAAGTATGTTTCTGATCACCCATCTCTAGGTTCCTGAGATGCAGGGAGTAACCAGAGTCAGCTGGTAAAGCTGAAGCCCCCACACACAGATAGACCCCCACCCCACCCAGCCCCTCCCTGGCAATGGAGCCAGAATTTTTTCCTCCTGGGACAATAATGTTCCTCCTCCAGACACAGGCCCAGCTGTCCCCCTCCCACTCAACAGCTGACCTAGCACCTGCCTCCCTCCCCTCCCTAATTAGGGGGTATGCCTCACAGGGGGCTGGTATGCAGGACTCTTAAGATATTCATCTGCCCAGTCTCCCCTCTTGGGCCTCAGACATGGAGACATAAGCCCCTTCCTCTTCAGGTCCACTGCCTAGGCCAGGGTTTCTTGACCTCAGCACCGCTGACATTATGGACCACATTCTTCTGTTGTGAGGGACGGTCCTGTGTGCTGTTGAACAGCATCCCTGGCTTCTGCGCACTAGAAGCAGGTAGCATGATGCCAGTTGTGCCAATCAGAAATATCTCTGCCAACTGTCCCGAGGGGTAAAATCAACCCTAACTAAAAACTCCTGGCCTAGGCCAGTGTACCCCCAAAGATGTGAGGAGAACAGAGGGGAGACACAAGGATAGGGACTTGGGAGGGCTCACGGGGCTGAGGAACGTAACGAGAGCTAACAAAGCAGCGTCACAGCTTCCCACTCACTACCTCCCACTCCAGGGGCCTACAGAAGCCCACCCAGTGGCTTATCTGGGGGGTGGGGGGTGGGCTGCAGCTCAGGAAGATTCCAAAACCAAAAGTGCAAACCCACCCAACACCACCACCACACATGGCTGATGGGTAGAAGCATAAAACCAGGCCCACTCGGAGAGCTGCCAAGTCTAGCCCCACACTCAGCACCCACAGCTCAGGCCTAGGGCAGCCGCATCCCAGAGCTAGAGCACACACACTCACTCACTGATTCATGAAATAATGACATGGCCCCATACAGCCGACCCTTCCCTTCTCCTCCACACTACCCTGTCCCCCAGACCCAGTCATACATATCCAGGCAGGGCCCAGTCTCAGTCCTGGGATTCAGAAAGTCCCCCTAAGGAAGCCCTTGGACATCCCCCAACACAGGCCATCAGTTCCTCTGGCCCCGGCTCCTAGTCAGATAGGCTCCTAGTCAGATACCGGATCTCTACATAAACACAAGTGCACACAACCGTGGAATGCACATCCTCAAGCCTGCCTGGAGGATGCCTGACCTGGTCTACTAGAGACTCCTTGAATTTTCCCCAATTACAGCCACCCTGGGCAGCAGGACCCCACATACTCTGCCCCCAGACACACAGCAGGAAGGAAGTGCTCCCTGCATCCTTCCTTAAGTCCGGCAGAAAGCCAAGGTCCTCACTCTGGGGGGCGCTGGCGTCCCACCGTCCCAGGCCCTCCCCCCACAACACTCAAGGAAGCCCGGGCCGTGCCCCCGCCCGCTCGGAGCCCCGGCCCCACTCACAGGACGCAGAGAGCAAAGGCTCCCGCCACGCTCTCGCTGTCTCGGACCAGGAAGCTGCCATCGCGGCCTGCCCGGGCCAGCAGCTCCTCGGCGGCGGCGCGGCTCAGGTCGCGGTGGTACCAGGCGGGGGCCGGGCTGCCCAAAGCGGCTCCCGGCCCGGCGCCCCCCGGGCCCGGCGCTCCGCACGCGGAGGCCATGGCCCGCGCAGGGCTCAGCGCCGCCCGCGCCCACCTCCCCGCGCCATCCGCCCTGGGACGCTCGGGGCTGAGGCTGGGACCGGGCCCGGGTCCTGGGGCTAAGGATCCGCCGGCGAGGCCGACCCGGAGATCGGAGCTCCGCGTTCCGCCGCGCTTGCCGCCGGGTTTGCCGCGCAGCCGACGCCGCCAGCAGCGCCGGCCTCAACTTGAAGAGAAAGAAAAGTTTGTTCAGAGGCGGCGGGGGAGGGGCAGGAGCGGAGCGCCGTGCCGGGCGGCCGGCCCCCACCCCCACCGCTCGGCCCAAGGCCCGGCCCGCCCCTGCCCCCACCCTCTTCCCCAAGGGGAAGTTGCCCTCTGCATCCCGCAGGACCCAAGACCCCCCAAATCCCAGGGCCTCTCAAACCCCACGTGATCCTGCCCCGCCATCACCAGAGAAGATCCAGTTCCTAACCCCCGCATCGAAGCCCAAGTCCCCACATTCCTGCGCCCCGACACTTCGGGATCCCGACCCCTTCCTTCTACACTGGCAATTATACGACCCCCCAACTCCCATAAACGTTTGATACCACCCTCAAATCCTTTCCATTCGGACTCCCTACAGACTCGTAGGATCGAGTTACCAAAATCTGCAAAGGATCCCATGATGAACCTCCTGCGGTCCCCTCTCCCCATCACCCCCAACTACCTTGAAATCCAGCCCCCTCTTAGACCTGAACCCCCAAACTCTACTGGCTCCAAATCCCGTGGGGGGGGAATCCCTCACAACCCCCCAGAAGAGCTCCAGTGTCCTCGAATCCCCAAGCACCGTCCCTGGCAGCCCCTCAGCCCAGGCAGAGCCCTTCCCCCTCTCGGCCAAGTTCCCTGGCACCATCCCCCATACCCGCAGGCCCCGGCCTTGAGGGGTTCAGCAGTCAAGAGAGCAGGCCTCCCTTTGCCCACACAGAAGAAAGTTCCCTCAGCACCCCCCCGCCCGGGCTCCCGACCTCTCCCTACAGCCTCGGCTGCCGTGCTCAGACTCCCACCTCCTGGGCTGCTCCGAAGCCCCCTTCCCCGGGGAAACGGCCCTGGACTCTCAGCGGCCACTTAAGATGGCCATCCTCCGCCGCCGCACCCCCCTCGCCTTCCGCCCCGCCCGCCGCTCCGCCCCCGCGGCTCTCCGCCGAGCCGGGGGTAGCACCCGCGCGCCCCGCCTCGCCCGGGCCCAGCGCCTTGATCCCAGAGCTGCTGATCGGCCGATTGACCTCGGGCAGGTCACGGGCGCCTCCCCGAGCCTCGCCTTCCGGCTCTGTATAATGGGGATAACGTTTTGAGGGCAGAGTCCACGAGACTGTGCTTGTAAAGCTCTCGGCACGGGGCCCGGCATCCAGTGGGCGCTCCCGAAAGGCGGCTATTTTTATTATTAATTAAGGAGTAACGAAGGTGACAGCTGTGTAAACTGTAAAGCGCGGCGGCGGAACGAACGGGTATTATTAGCACCCGCCCCCGCCCCAGCTACTCCCTCCAAGTCAACAAACTTGAGCCTCTGTGGGCGGGACGCGGAGCCAGGAGCTCCCTAGACCGGGTTACCTCGGTCGTCCCCTGGCCTCTTCCCCTCCCACCAAGAGTGGTAGGATCCCTGGGACGCCCGGAAAGGGGCGGGAGTCTTAGGAGGGTCTGGCCCGCCCCTCCCCAAAAAAAGACCTAGCCGGTGGCGGCGTCTCCTGGGAGTCCGCTTCCTGCCCCGCCCCTCTGCCCCCTGGATCCTTAAAGGCACAGGCCTCCAGCCTGGTTCCCATTGCCGCCAACTCAGGCCGCTGCTAGAGGATCCCCTTTAACCTGGGAACTTTCACTTTGCTGAATAGAATCTGTGTCTGGGTCAGTTTCAACGAGCTCCTTTCTCCGTTTCAAATATACAGTGACTTTACCCAGCTGGAGCAAAACCAGGGACGCGGAGAGGGGTCTATAGGTCCTTCCAGGCTAGATAAACGTAATGACTGAGATCCATCCACACGGGAAACTGTCTCAAGACCTCTCCAATAACCCAATTACTCGTCCTCCAATCTGTGGCCAACTTCCCCCTTCAGTCACCTCTTGCTATGAGGAGGTTAAGAGAGACCTAGACTGAGTCTTCACTGCTAGCTTCTAGTTTCAAGTTGATGACACCACCTGCCTGGAGTTCTCATTCAGGTACCTGCAGGTACCTGCGCCTCTCTGAGGATAACTGTGGTTGGGATGTGGAGACAAAGGCTTCCCCAAGGGGAAGCCGGAGACCCTGAGATAAACTGAGGCCAGTTCCTGGGGGCTGTGTAACGACAGAGCAGTCCTCCAGGAGAGGCACACCTACCAATCCTGGAGGGGACAAAGGTGCTGCGGATAGTTCCCGCCTCTGGGAAGCCCTAAGAGTTTCCGCCCCTCTTCCAGTCACGCCTCCAGGACTCAGCAGGGCAGAACTAGGGTTAGAATCTGCAGTGTTTGCTCTGCAGGAACCTCACAGACTGCCCTCTTCTCTAAGGTGCCAAGCCCCAACTCTGCCCCTTCAGTCGGTATCATGGGTGAATTTGTTTACACACACACACACACACACACACACACACGCACCCGCAGCCTTCCCTGGATGCCAATCCCGTTTTCCCATATCAGCAGAAGGGAGCACAGAGCCTGGGGAAAAGGCCTTCCTTTGGGACCCAGTATAAATAATGAAGTCCTGGACTTGGCTCTCTCATTTGGGTCTATAAGGGCCACAGGATCCCTGAGGACTAATAATGTGCAGGCACTGGGCACACATGCTTTCTAGGCAACATTTCACAACTATGAGAGAAGGAAGGATTATTATCTTCATTTTATTGAGAAGGAAACCGGTTTAAGAAAAGTCAAGCAACTGATTAATTTTCACATAATGAGTAGCAGAACTGGTATTCAAGCTCATGTCTTGTTTCTCTAATCTGAACAAATCCAAAAACTATGGAATCTGCCCTCTACCGCACACAAACTCAGAACCAAAATAATTCATCAGACTCAGATGTGTTGGTCTATTTATTAGAACTGGCTGTCAGAGAAACCCCAAGCCCCACCCTGGAGCAGGAACTGGATGACAAAGGGATGGATAATGAATGGAAGCGTGCTGATGGCTCCCTCATTTGTGGGAGCTGAACTGAGCCCAGCCTGGTCATCAAACCTGGGGACTGGCTGGACTCAGTCATGGAGCCAGAGTGACAGCATCAGGGCCAGGCAGAGCAAGAGAGGTCTAATACCCTGGGGCCTGGCCTCAGCAGTCAAGGCCAAGGCATAGAATCTCGCCACCTCCTCATTGGGGTTGCCCAGGGCAGGGTCGAACCACATCTGGATGCAGCGGCCGCTGCCCCGGCTGTAGTTGCTGAGCTTGTAGGAGTGACTCCAGAGGCCCTCACACAAGGCTGCAGGTGTGGGGAAGTAGGTCTCAAATGTGCGGCAGGTGGTCCCATTTGGACACTTATTAGATCCTGCAGGGGGAGAGAAGGTGGGCATGGACATTCTGTCCCTAGGCCCAAAGCTTAACTCTGGCCGCCCCTAGGAATCCTTGCTCAACCCCAATCCTCAGACCCCCTTTCTCCACCCCTCCCTACTCACCCCCCTGCCCCCAGCCCTCACCTGAGGTCCAGTCCCAGCCTCTGTGCCAGTTGCTCTTGCAAGTGTAGGAGGTGCGGCAGTCTTCCCACCAGCTCTGACAGTCCTCTTTGCACAGGGGCACGTTCAGGAACCGTTCTTTGCGCCACTTCTGGTTCACCTGGGGGAGAGGGTAGGGGCGGGGAGGCTCAGTCAGCCAGGGATGTTGGTAGGAACAGCTATGACTGAGTTGGGGGCAGCCTGCTGGGGTGGAAGGAGGGAGACCCCAGTACCTCCTGGATCCAGGGCCCCAGATTGGGTGAGCACTCGTACAAACAGTTGTCCTGAATGAAGTGGCGCTGGCAGGCGGGCTCCATCTTGCCACAGTGGTCCCAGGTAAAGTTATACAAGGAGGAGGTGTCCTTGTGCAGCTCCTGACTGACTCTGGCAGAGCAGCAGGCGTTCTTCTCCCAGGGGGTGCACTAGGTGGGGAAGACATGAGACTAGTTGCCTCCAGACCACCAACTCTGCCACCTCCAGCCTCTTCCCGTTTGTCTCTTCTTGCTCTCCTGTCTCAGGCAGGTTGTCCTAAGAATGCTCACTATTTAAAAAAAAAAAAAAAATGAATGTTCACTATTCGGACCCTTCTGTCCTTGGCCTCCAGAAACTCCTGTCTTGGGGGAGACAGTTACAAGACTGATGGGGGCAGTGAAAGCCTGGGAGAAGCCCTGTCTTGGGAAGACAATAGCTATCATTTATACAGTGCTTGACACTTCATACAAAGTAATTTATTTATTCCCTAAAAATAATTACTGAGTACTTATTTTATGCCAGTTACTGTTCGAGATGCTGGGACTACAGAAGAGAACAAAACAGGCAGAAATATGTGTTCTAGTCAAGAGAGACAGTAAGAAGCTAAAAGAGAAAAAAACAGGATCTGATCAATTATATGGATAAAATAACAGCAGGGAATAGAAACATGGAATGATTGTTGAAATTTGAAAGAGGGTGGTTGGTTGTATTAAGCCTCATTGGAAGATGGCTTTTTGAGCAAAGGAGGAAAGGTGTACTGCATTACAGCATGCAGTAATATATGTCAAAGTCTCTCACCCTTTAAACCCCTGGGAGTGCCCACCTCAATCCTACCCCCACCGCATCACAGGGGCAAGTCCTGTCCAAATCCTCTGGGTGTCCATGTGCTTCTCTGGGCCTCAGTTTCCTCATTTGTATCAAGTGGAGGAGAACATCATCTACCCATATCACAGGACCTCTGGGAATATGAAATCATCCGCAGAAAACACATGACACCTGGTAGGTGCTCAGTAAGTGTTTATTTCACATTATTGCCAACATGGTATCCTATTCTGAGCAGTCCACCTCTAGAATCACATCAACTGCACCCCCATCCTGCCTTCATCTTCTCCCACAATAGTAACTCAGGATGTGTGTGTGCAATGGAAGGGCTGATCCCTCCCCCTTCCCCCACCACCCTGACTTCCTCTTCCTTGTCTGAACAAGCCCCCTCCCAACCCAGAGCCACACTCCATCCTCACCTGGTTGTGTAGCTTGTCCTCAGGGCCAGGTTCTGCCTTGTGGTGCTTGGCATCCATGCAGACGTTAAGCAGGTCTGTCCGGGTCCGGGCACTGCACACAGAAATCATCCAGCCGAGAAACAGCAGAAGTGGTGTCAGTTTCCAGGGCATGTCTTTCCCTTCCTGCAGAGGCAACTGTGGAAGAGACCAAAGTCTGAAGGGAGAGAGCCCCTTGCAGGGTCCCCCCTTCGCCTCCTGCCTCAGTCTCCCCAACTCCACAGTGTAGGATGGGGTCAGACCCTGTTCCTCCAGTGCTAGGGCCCTGAGGCTCCTTGAGGCTGGAGTAGAGAAGATTGGCAAGGGCAGCAGCTCCCTCACCATAGGTCTGGGGGGCTCAAAAGGGGATCTGGGGTTAGGTTCCCCGGGGGAATCTTCCCAAGTTGGAGGAGACTCCTTGTGCCCTACCTTCTCTCTGGGCTGACCCAAGAAAAGTAACTAAATAATTCAGGTCCGTGCTCTACTCTCCGGAAGAGGACACAGCCCTCATCCTGTGTCCAGCAAGGCTCTGCCTTCACTCCCTTGACCACCCAGGTTTCCATGCCAGCTTAGAAACCCTGTTATCCTGGCATGGCAGTGACCCAGCTCTGCTGAGTTCTCCAGTTCAGCATGAGGATCAAGCGAGGTGGCACACAGGATGGTGATGATTAAGTGATACAGAAATGATGAGGGGGGTTGTTTCTAAACAGCTTTGTGCTCTCAGACTTTTTCCTTCCCTATTTTCTGAAAATCATGTCCTTCCATCGTGACTCTGGTCTCCTCAGCAACTTCTGAACAAATTAACCAGATCCCTGCCTTTATCCTTCAAAGAACAAATGCAGGATCCTAGGACAAGGGACAGTGTAAAAGTCCCCCACATTGGAGTTGCTAACCAGACAAGAACTTAAAGTCATGGGAGACACCCAGCAAAAGCGACAGCCCCCTACTCTGTTCATGACTGCCCCTCACCTTCCACCCCCTCACCCATCTCCTGTATAACAGATCTGTTCCTTTAGATTCTGTCACTGAGGGACCTAAGAATTGATAATGGAGACCTCCCCCTCCCTCACCATCCCCCATGTTGTTGATCCCCAAGCCCTGGCAAGGGACTCTCCAAAAATTCTTTCTGGAATTCACTTCCGTTGGCTCTGTGTTTGGAGTAAGGTCTTCCCTCCTCCAGCTTCTTCCCCTTTAAGTCACCTTCCCCACAGGAGCCAGAGTCCTCTCTCTAAAGAGAGATATGTCTCTCCCCTATGTGCCAACCTGCCAACTCCCCTGAGTGCCCCGTCACACTTCCCTCCTTAGGGCAACTTGCCTGAGCCTCCTTGGCTACCAGGTCCACACACAGCTCTGGCTGGATTGGCCTTTCTCCAGGCTGTCCTCTGTGGTCTCCGTCCTCAGCGCAGGATAGACTGACTAAGAGCTCTGGTGTAAGTACAGATACAATTTCCTCTTTCAGTTCTTCTCCTGCTCTTCCTTCTTTTTGGATCCCACCCTCTCCAAGGTTCCTTTAGGCTGTCAAGTGAACCATTCTTGTTTACACTCATCTCTCCATTTGTTAACTTAGTCATTCCAGGGTCCCCACATTCAACATTCATCAGAATCTAGAGTGGGCTTCCCTGGTGGCTCAGTGGTAAAGAATCTGCCTGCCAATGCAGGAGACATGGCTTCAATCCCTGATCCAGGAAGATCCCACGTGCCTCGGAGCAATTAAGCCCGGCCACCACAGCTACTGGAGTCTGCCCTCTAGAACCTGGGAACCCCAATTCCTGAGGCCCACGCACCCTAGGGCCTGTGCCCCTCAACAAAAGAAGCCACCACGATGAGAAGCCTATGCACTGCAACTAGAGAGTAGCCCCCACTCTCCACAACTAGAGAAGAGTCTGAGCGGTGATGAAGACCCAGCACAGCCAGAATAAATAAAAATTAAATTTAAATTAAAAAAAATCTAGATGATTGCTCATCTCCAAGAGGGGCTCTGAATTTTTGACCCCAAGTGCTGACTTGAGGGAAATGGGACCTAGTGAGGAAGAACACAGGCTTTGTGACCAGGATGGAACCCAGTGATAGCTCCATCTCTCCCACAGCTATAGGAAACATTACTGAATCTTTCTTAGCTTCAGTTTGCTCACAAGAAAACTGTTAAGAATTATATGTAGAAAAGTCTCTCATATACCGAGTAGGCTTGAATTTTTTTTTTTTTTAATTTAACTATGTGTGTGTGTGTGTGTGCGTGTTCTCACTCAATTGTGTCCGACTCTTTGAGACCCAATAGACTATAGCCCCCCAGGCTCCTCTGTCCATGGAATTCTCCAGGCGAGAATACTGGAGTGGGTTGCCATGCCCTTCTCCAGGGGATCTTCCTGACCTCGGGATCAAACCCAGGTCTCCTGCACTGGAGGCAGATTCTTTACTGTCTGAGCCACCAGAGAAGCCCAATTTAACTATAGTTGATTTATAATATTGTGTTAGCTCCAGATATATATCTTCATATTCTTTTCCATTGTAGGTTATTACAAGATTACTACAAGATTATTTTCCATTGTAGGTTATTGCAAGTGTGTAACTGTTATTCCCATACTCCTAATTTATTCTTCTCTATCCCCTTTCCCATTTGGTAACCATAAGTTTGTTTTCTATGTCTGTGAGTCTGTTTCTATTTTGTAAATAAGTTGATTTGTATTATTATTATTTTAGCCACACCACACAGTAATGTATTTTTTTTTTAGATTCCATATACAAGTGATATGATATTTGTCTTTTTCTACCTGACTTATTTTACTTAGTATGACAATCTGTACATCCATTCATATACTGCAAATGGCAATATTTCCTTCTTTTTTATGGCTGAGTAATATTTTATTGTGTGTGCATCAGTTCCTCAGTGTTGCTCAGTCATGCCCAACTCTGCTCCCATGGACTGCAGCCCACCAGGCTTCTCTGTCCATGGGATTTTCCAGGTAAGGATACTGAAGTGGGTTGCCATTTCCTTCTCCAGGGGATCTTCCCAACCCAGGGATCAAACCTGAGCCTCCTGCACTGCAGGCAGATTATTTACTGACCAAGTTACCAGGGAAGCCCCTGTGTGTGCATATGTGTGTGTAAAAACATATGTATGCACACCACATCTTCTTTATCCATTCATCTGTTGATGGACATTTAGGTTGCTTGAGAGGGCTTGAATGGCAGAAATCAGATTAATTTATGAGCAGCCAGATGAACCAGGTAGAAGTTGAGGTATAGAAGTCAAGTGTCACAGAGAAAAATTGTCTCAACCCTGATAAATGATAATACCTCACCATCTACCATTTCTGTAAACATAATTAAGCAATTTTTTAGCCTTTTAAACAAATGTGGTAAAATATAGACTACTTAAAATTTACTGTCTTAACAATTTAAGCCTGTAGTTCAGTGGTGTTAAGTATATTCATGTTGTTGTGCAACACATCTCTAGGCCATTTTCATTCTGTAAAACAGAAACTGTTTCCATTATATCAACAGTCCCCTGTTTCCTCTTCTCTCCAGTCCCTGGCAATGGCCATTCAACTTTTTATGTCTGTGAATTTGGCTACTCTTTTTGTTGTTGTTCATTCGCTAAGTCGTGTCCGACTCCTTGCAATTCCATGGACTGCAGCATGCGAGCCTTCCCTGTCCATCTACTCCAGTAGCTTGCTCACACTTACATCCATTGAGTCGGTGATGCCATCTTGCCCTCCGTCATCCCCTTCTCCTCCTGCCTTCAGTCTTTTCCCAGCATCAGGGTCTTTTCCATGACTCAGTTCTTTGCATCAGGTGGCCAAAGTTTTGGAGCTTCGACCTCAGCCTCAGTCTTTCCAATGAGTATTCAGGATTGATTTCCTTTAGGATTGACTGGTTTGATCTCCTTGCAGTCCAAGGGACTCTCAAGAATCTTCTCCAACACTACAGTTCAAAAGCATCAATTCTTCAGCCCTCAGATTTCTTTATAGTCCAACTCTCACATCCATACGTGACTACTGGAAAAACCATAGCTTTGACTAGATGGACCTTTGTCAGCAAAGTAATGTCTCTGCTTTTTAATACGTTCTCTAGGTTTGTCATAGCTTTTCTTCCAAGGAGCAAGCATCTTTTAATTTCATGGCTGCAGTCACCATCTGCAGGGATTTTCCTTCATATAATTGGGGTCACACATTATTTGTCCTTTTGTGTCTGTCTTATTTCACTTAGCATAATGTCCTCAAGGTTCATCCACATGTCAGAATTTCATTCCTTTTTATAGCTGAAGGGAACGATAGAGGATGAGATGGTTGGATGGCATCACCGACTCGATGGGCATGAGCTTGAGTAAACTCTGGGAGTTGGTGATGGACAGGGAGGCCTGGCGTGCTGTGATTCATGGGGTCGCAAAGAGTCGGACACAACTGAGCGACTGAACTGAACTGAATATTCCATTGTATGTATACTACAATGGATAATATTTTATCCATTCATCCATCCTTGGACATTTGAACTGCTTCCACATTTTGGCTATTGTGAAGAATGCCACCATGACATTTTCTTTTTTTTTGGCCATGCCACGTGGCATGTGGGAATCATAGTTTCCCTACCAGGGATTGAATGTGCACCCTGTGCGTTGGACGTGCAGAGTCTTAACCACTAGACCACCAGGAATGTATCCTGAAGAATGCTTCTATGAACACAGGTATACAATTATCTCTTTGGGACACTGCTTTTGATTCTTTTGGATATATAACCAGAAGTGGAATAGCTGGATTGTATGGTAATTCTATTTTTAATTTTTTAAATTGTAGCATGCAGGGTCTTTTAGTCGCACCCTGCAAACTTTTAGTTGTGACATGTGAGATCTAGTTCTCCGATCAGGGGTCAAACCCAGGCCCCCTGCCTTGGGAGCTTGGCATCTTAGCCACTGGATCACTAGGAAAGTCCCTCTATTTTTAATTTTGAGGAACTATCATACTGTTTTCCAAAACGGATGCACAATTTTATATTTCCACCAACAGTGTACAAGAATTTCAATTTCTCCACATTCTGGCCAAAACTTATTAATATCTTCTGTTTGTTTGTTTGTTTCTTTAATAGTAGCCACCCTAGTGGGTATGAGGTGATATGTAACTGTGGTTTTAATTTGCATTTCT